ATCCATTTATAATAATAATAATATCCTCTCTGAAATAAAATTTAATAATATTAAAGAAGTCGATAGTTCTGCAACACTGTGTAAGAGTTCACAAAAAGCATAATACAGGGTGTAACAGAAATAAGTGCGAAGCATTGGGGGGTGTAAACTGAATGACATAAGAAATCCCATGGCGAGTTCAGCAGCGTGATTAGTGGTAAAAAAATTTTTTTTAAGAAAAAAGGAATTTACAATTACAGTCAAAATTGTAAGCCTTTTACTTTATTATTTACTACTGAAACAACAAATCTACCAACCTGTATACCTAGAACAAGTAAGAGAAGGATACCCTTATCTATATAAACAATTTGTAGAGTTTGTCTCTCTTTTATTACTATACTATAGACTATTTCTTAAATCTTAAATAAATTACAATGGCGTTGAAGTTTTACTTACATCATCATCATAAGGTCGTCAGTCGTAAGAGTGGTTGGACACGCACCTCCACTCTTTCCTATCCTGAGCTAATTTTCACATTTCCCCTAAACATCCTTAACTACTTGCGAACAGTAATACCTCTACTGCCCTTAACTCCTGTTTCTGCTTGTAATTGCTTCTCACTAGCTCTTCATGCCTCAGAAGGTATCCTGTCAACCTATCTCGCCTATTTCTTATTGTTTTCCATGGAATCCTGTTTTCTTATTCTTTTCTTTTTTAACCTTCTCTATTCACGGTATCTTCATCATTCACCTATAACACCACATTTCAAACACTTCTAACCTTTTCTTCTACGCCGCACCCACCGTCCATGTTTCACACCCGTATAGCACGGCGTTCCAAACATACTTCTAAATTAACCGTTCGCAAGCATAGATGTGACTTCTTTTTATTGAAGGCGATTCGACTTTGCGATATCTTCTGCTTTATATCCATATCTCCTATCTTTATATTCGCTGTGTCCCTACTTTTTCTTCCCTTCCCTACAAGTATTTTTGTTTTACTTTTATTTATATTCATACAGTACTGTTTTGTCAGTACTGCTTCCAATTTATTTAAATCTATCTCTAACGCCTCCTCGCCAGATGTTAATATTGCTATATTATCTGCAGATCTAAGCATACTAATCTTCTGCCCCTGTATATCTATCCCTACAGCTGTACTGTCTTTAATGATGTTGATCGCGTCTTCGATGAATTAATAAATTTGCTTTGCTACTTGCTACTCCAGCTCTATAACTGTTTTTTGCTTTTTGTATAAACTAAGTATCACCCTTCTACCTCTGTAACTCATCTCTACATTTTTATGTATGTTAAACATCTTGTCCCATTTAACTTTGTCAAAAGCTTTTTCTAAACCTAAGACGCTCTTCCTTTTTCTATCGTTTCTCTATAATTACCCATAAAGTTAGAATAGCGTCTCGCATTCCTCTATTTCTTCTAAACTTTATTAAACTAAAATTAATCTTCCCCTAATAGTTTT